TCTCTAAAAAAAGGCAGCAGCCCATCAGGGATTTATAAATAAAGCCTCCACTTTCCTGGGACAGAGCACTTGGGTACAGAAGGCTGTTGTGGGTACAGCTTCAGCAGACTTAAATGTCCCTACTTGACAGCTCTGAAAAGTACAGCAAATCCCTCAGCACAGTGTTCCAGCTTAAATAAGGGACAGATTGCCTCCTCAAGTGGCAGTACTGATCCCCGTGAATCCTGACTGTGAGACACCTCCCAGTAGGGGCCAACAGACACCTCACACAAGAGAGCTCTGGCTAGCATCTAGTGGGTGACCCTCTGGGACAAAGCTATCAGAGGTAGAAACAGGCAGCAATCTATGCTGTTCTGCAGCTCCCACTGTGATTTCCTGGCAAGCAGTGTCTGGAGTGGACCTCCAGCAAACTCCAGCAGACCTGCAGCAGAGGGGCCTGACTGTTAGCAGGCAAACCAACGAACAGAAAGAAATAGTCTCAACATCACCAGAAAGGACATCCACTCAGAGACCTGTTCCAAAGGTCACTGACTCAACGACCAAAGGTAGATAAATCCACAAAGATGGGAAGAAACCAGTGCAAAAAGACTGAAAATTCCAAAAACCAGAACACCTCTTCTCCTCAAGGGATCACGACTCCTCATCAGCAAAAGAATGAAACTAAACAGAGAATGAGTTTGACAAATTGACAGAAGTAGGCTTCAGAAGGTGAGTAATAACTAACTTCTCTGAGATAAAGGAGCATGTTTTAACCCAATGCAAGGAAACTAAGAACCTTGAAAAAAAAGGTTAGATGAAATGCTAAATAGAATAACAAGTTTAGAGGAGAACATAAACGACCTGATGGAGCTGAGAAAGATAGCAAGAGAACTTCGTGAAGCATACACAAGTTTCAATAGCCAAATCAATCAAGCAAAAGAAAGGATATCAGAGATTGAAGATAACTCAGTGAAATAAAGCAAGAGACAAGATTAAAAAAAAGAGCAAAAAGAAATGAACAAAGCCTCCAAGAAATATGGGATTACATGAAAAGACCAAATCTATGTTTGATCGGTGTACCTGAGAATGATGAAGAGAATGAAACCAAGTTGGAAAACTCACTTTAGGATATTATCCAGGAGAACTTCAACCTAGCAGGGAAAGCCAAGAGTCAAATTCAGGAAACACAGAGAACACCACAAAGATACTCATTGAGAAGAGCAACCCCAAGACACATAATCATCAGATTCACCAGTGTTGAAACGAAGGAAAAAATGCTAAGTGCAGCCAGAGAGAAAGGTCGGGTTACACACAAAGGGAAGCCCAGTAGACTCACAGCAGATCTCTTGGGAGAAACCCTATAAGCCAAAAGCAAATGGGGGGCAATATTCAACATTCTTGGAGAAAGGAATTTTCAAGCCAGAATTTCATATCCAGCCAAACTAAGCTTCGTAAGTGAAGGAGAAATAAAATCCTTTATGGACAAGCAAATGTTGAGAGATTTTGTCACCACTAGGCCTGCCTTACAAGAGCTCCTGAAGGAAGCAATAAACATGGAAAGAAACAACCAGTACCAGCCACTGCAAAAACATACCAAATTGGAAAGACCTTAGACACAATGAATAAATTGTATCAACTAACGGGCAAAATAACCAGCTAGCATCATAATGGTATGATCAAACTCACACATAACAATATTAACCTTAAATGGAAATGGACTAAATGTCCCAGTTAAAAGACACAGACTGGCAAATTGGATAGAGTCAACACCCATCAGTGTGCTGTATTCAGGAGACAATCTCAAGTGCAAACACACACATAGGCTCAAAATAAAGGGATGTAGCAATATTTACCAAGCAAATGGAAAGCAAAGAAAAAAAGCAGGGTTTGCAATCCTAGTCTCTGATAAAACAGACTTTAAACCAACAAAGATCAAAAGTGATGAAGAAAGGCATTATATAATGGTAAAGGGATCAATGCAACAAGAAGACCTAACTATCCTGAATATATACGCACCCAATACAGGAGTACCCAGATTCATAAAGCAACTTCTTAGAGACCTACAAAGAGACTTAGACTCCCATACATTAATAGTGGGATAGTTTAACACCACATTGTCAATATTAGACAGATCAACAAGACAGAAAATTAATAAGGATATCCAGGGCTTGAACTCAGATCTGGACCAAGCGGACCTCATAGACATCTACAGAACTCTCCACCCCAAATCCCCAGAATATACATTCATCTCAGAACCACATCACACTTGTTCTAAAATAGACCACATAATTGGAAAAAACACTCCTCAGCAAATGCAAAATAACAGAAATCATAACAGTCTCTCAGACCACAGCGCAATCAAATTAGAACTCAGGATTAAGAAACCCACTCAAAACCACACAACTACATGGAAACTGAACAACCTGCTCCTGAATGACTACTGGACAAATAATGAAATGAAGGCAGAAATAAAGATGTTCCTGAAACTAATGGGAACAAAGACACAATGTACCAAAACCTCAGGACACATTTAAAGCAGTGTTTAGAGGGAAATTCATAGCACTAAATGCCCACAAGAGAAAGGAGGAAATATCTAAAATTGACACCCTAATGTCACAATTAAAAGAACTAGAGGAGCAAGAACAAACAAATTCAAAAGCTAGCAGAAGACAAGAAATAACTAAGATCAGAGCAGAAGTGAAGGAAGTAGAGACAGGAAAAACTCTTCAAACAAGCAATGAATCCAGGAACTGGTTTTTTGAAAAAAATCAACAAAATAGATAGACCACTAGCCAGACTAATAAAGAAGAAGAGAGATAAGAATCAAATAGATGCAATAAAAATGATAAAGGGGATATTACCACTGATCCCACAGAAATACAAATTACGATCAGAGAATAGTATAAACACCTCTATGTAAATAAGCCAGAAAATTTAGAAGAAATAGATTAATTCCTGGTCACTTACACACTCCCAAGACTAAACCAGGAAGAAGTCGACCTGAATAGACCAATAAGAAGGTCTGAAATCGGCCGGGCATGGTGGCTCACACCTATAATCCCAGCACTTTGAGAGGCCAAGGCAGGTGGATCACGAGGTCAAGAGATCGAGACCATCCTGGTCAACAAGGTAAAACCCCGTCTCTACGAAAAATACAAAAATTAGCTGGGCATGGTGGTGCATGCCTGTAGTCCCAGCTACTTGGGAGGCTGAGGGTGGAGAATTGCTTGAACCCAGAAGGCGGAGGTTGTGGTGAGCTGAGATTGTGCCATTGCACTCCAGTCTGGGTAACAACAGCGAAACTCCGTCTCAAAAAAAAGGTCTGAAATCAAGACAGCGATTCATAGCTTACCAACCAAAAAAGTCCAGGACCAGATGAGTTCGAAGCTAAATTCAACCAGGAGTAAAAAGGGAGCTAGTACCATTCCTTCTGCAACTATGCCAAACAATAGAAAAAGAGAATACTCCCTAACTCATTTTGAGGCCAACATCATCTTGATACCAAAAACTGGCAGAGACACAAGTAAAAAAAGACATTTCAGGCCAATATGCCTGATGAATATCGATGGGAAAATCCTCCATAAAATACTGGCAAACCGAATCCAACAGCACATCCAAAAGCTTATCCATCAAGATCGTCAGCTTCATACACAGGCTGCAAGGCTGGTTCAACACACGCAAATCAATAAAAGTAATCCATCACATAACCAGAAGCAAAGAGAAAAACCACATGATTGATGCAGAGAAGGCCTTCGACAAAATTCAACAGCCCTTTATGCTAAAAACTGTCAATAAACTGTGTATTGATGGAATGTATCTCAAAATAATTAGAGGTATTTCTGACAAACCCACAGTCAATATCATACTGAATGGGGAAAAACTGAAAGCATTCCCTTTGAAAACTGACACAAGACAAGGATGACCTCTCTCACCACTTCTATTCAACATGGTATTGGAAGTTCTGGCCAGGGCAATTAGGCAAGAAAAAGAAATAAAGGGTATTCAATTAGGAAAAGAGGAAGTCAAATTGTCTCTATTTGCAGATGACATGATTGTATATTTAGAAGACCCCATCATCGGGATTCCTTCTCTGGGTACCCTCCCATGACAGTGTGGGAGCTGTCTTTCTTTTTCTCTTTCTCTCTGTCTAATAAATTGCTTTTCTGCAACAACAACAAAAAAAAAAAAAAAAGAAGAAGAAAAAGAAAACCCCATCGTCTCAGCCCAAAATCTTCTTAAGATGATAAGCAACTTCAGTAAAGTCTCAGGATACAAAATCTATGTGCAAAAATCACAAGCATTGCTATACACCAAAAACAGACAAACAGCCAAATCATGAGTGAACTTCAAGGAGAACTACAAACCACTGTCAAGGAAATAAGAGAGGACACAAACAGAGGGAAAAACACTCCATGCTCATGGTTAGGGAAAGAATCAATATCATGAAAATGGCCATACTGCCCAAAGTAATTTATACATTCAATGCTATCCCTATCAAGCTACCATTGACCTTTTTCCACAGAATTGGGGGAGGGGGCCTTATATACTATATGGAACCAAAAAAGGGCATGCATAGCCAAGACAATCCTAAGAAAAACAAAAAGCTGAAGGCATCACACTGACTTCAAACTATGCTACAAAGCTACAGTAATCAAAACAGCATGGTACTGGTACCAAAACAGAGATATAGACTTGTGGAACAGAATGGAGGCCTCAGAAGTAACACCACACATCTACAACCAACTGATCTTTGACAAACCTGACAAAAACAAGCAATGGGGAAAGGATTCCCTATTTAATAAATTGTGTTAGGAAAACTGGCTAGCCATATGCAGAAAGATGAAACTGAATTCCTTCCTTACACTTTATACAAAAATTAACTCCACATGGGTTAAAGGTTTAAACATAAGACCTACTACCATAAAAACACTAGAAGAAAACCTAGTGTCCCTGTCCACACTTGCTTCCTCACAGCTTCTCCATCCCCACCAGCAACAAACTCAGCACAGCAAACACGTGGATTCTGGAAGGTTCTCAGGTCTTTATTTTCTCTCTCGAATTTTAGGAATTGACTTATTTAATTAACTCATCAACCTCTCGTGGCAAATATTTGAGGAAACACATTTATATTCAGATTCTGTTTTCAGTAGGGAAGTAAGAGGTTGCAGCTCAGTGCACCATGAAGCTGAGACACAGATGGAGATGCTCAGCCCCACCTCTCTGGAACAGGAAAGATGACTGGGGAGGGAACACAGGTCAGCATGGGGACAGGGGTCACGGTGGACATGGGATGGGCTGTCTCTCCACCTCCTCACATTATGCTAACAGGGACACAGACACATTCAGATGCCTTAGTAGAAAGAGACGCCAGAGGCTCTTGAAGTCACAAAGGGGAGGCGTGAAGAAATCCCGCATCTCAGTCCCACACAAGGCAGCCGTCTCAGGCTATGAAAACAATAGGTGTGGTCAAATTCAGGTCAGTCATGGTAAGTGATGACACTCTGAACTGCCCACCACACACTAGAAATGTCCCAATAAAAGAATCCTCACTACACAGTCCTTTCCCTGCTGCCCCACCCCGTACCCACTTCAGACCCTCAAAATCTCACCTTTACAAGCCGTGAGAGACACATCAGAGTCCTGGGCACTGTCGCTGCCTAGGACCTGTCAGAGCCCGCAGGAGATGTGGGACAGGAGGAATTTTGGGGTGGGTGAGCTCCTCCACACCCCCACCCCCATCACGTACACGCAGCCTGAGAGTAGCTCCCTCTTTTTCCAGCTGTGGGAAGAAAATGTCCTGTGAGGGGACAGGGAAGAGGCAGGGCCATGAGATCTTAGAGGAGCTTCCTAGACTTGGAGGCTCCAAGAAACTTTCCTCCAAAAAAAGTTTCTAGCCATAGTGACTACAGACCCAGGGCAGAATCAGGAAACTCGAGGAAAGCAGATGTGGGTTCTGGAGCAACCGCCCTCCTAAGGTCTGTCCTTAGCAGGGAACTTCCCCTGACTCATGAATGCTGAAATCAGGACCCCAACACCACAGTCATCAAGGGGTGATACATCTGTCCTTCATTGTCACATGTGCTTCACAAAACAGTAAGTACTGGCAAACAGGGCCCCAGGCTGGGTTGGCCCATGTGTGGATGGTGCTTTCCACTAATGAGGCAGGGAACACTTCTACCTGGGGCTTGAAACCCTGAGTGGGACAAGAAAACCCAGACCCCACCCCTCACCGTTTCCCTACCTGAGCTCTTCCTCCTCCACATCATAGCAGTCACCACAGCTCCGATGACCACAGCTCCAAAGAAAACCAAGTCAGCAACGATGCCCACGATGGGGATGGTGAGCTGGGAAGACGGCTCTGGGAAAGGAGGGGAACATGAAGGGCCCTGACCCCCAGGTCTCAGCCCTGACCCTGCTGAAAGGCTCCAGATGGGCTCCTGCTTTCCCTGAGAAGAGATGTGACACCTCACCCCCCTCTTACCCCATCCCCCTCCTTACCCCATCTCAGGGTGAGGGGTTTGGGCAGCCCCTTGTGCTGCACATGGCACATGTATCCCTGCTCTTCTCCAGAAGGCACCACCACAGCTGTCCACTTCTGGAAGGTTCCATCCCCTGCTGGCCTGGTCTCCACAAGCTCGGCGTCCTGAGTTTGGTCCTCCCCATCCTTCTGCCAGGTCAGTGTGATCTCCACAGGGTAGAAGCCTAGGGCCCAGCACCTCAGGGTGGCCTCATGATCAGAGACAGGGTGGTGGGTCACATGCGTCTTTGGGGGGTCTGACAGGAAGGGTCAGAACATTCAGGCACTTGGCATCTCTCATGGAATACCCATGAGACCACAGCAGCACCCATGTGACCATCTGAGAATGGACAGGACACCTGGGGTGGGGAAGGGACCACAGAACCCAGACACTGGCCTGGACACAGGCACCTGGGATAATCTCCTATTCCTTGGAAAGTTATAGTCTCTGAGAATGAAACAGTGACTTCTGGTCCTGACCTGAGTGGAGGCCGAGGGACTCAGAAAAGCTAGAATCAGACCATAAAACGCATTGAGTGTGAGGCAGAGAACAAGGCCTGAGTGAAGAAATCACGGTGCCCCAAGGGTGCTGCAGGGGTCAAAGTGGACCCCTGATCAGTATTCCAGGGACTGTCTTCCCCTTCATTTCCTCAGAGACGTCATCCCTTAATTATCCTAGAGAGCGGAGGGGCCCTGAGAGGAAACTCAGGAAAACTCATGCCATTCTCCATTCAAGGGAGGGCGATATTCTAGCACTGATCCCATTTTCCTCCCCTCCCCATGGGAGGCCATCCTGGGAGATCTACGGGAGATGGGGACGGCTCCCCACTGTCCCTAGTACCCGTATGCTGCAGTCTCCTTCCCCTTGGCCAGGTATCTGCGGAGCCACTTCAGGCATGTGCCCTCCAGGTAGGCCCTGAGCCCCTTTGCCTCATGGACGGCCTACAACTTGCGCTGGGTAATCTGAGCAGCCGTGTCAGCCGCTGTCCAAGAGCGCAGGTCCTCGTTCAGGGCGATGTAATCCTTGTCGTCATAGGCATGTTGGTAATACCCGCGGAAGAGGCGCCCATCAGGCCCCAGGTCGCAGCCATAGGTCGTCTGGAGGGTGTGAGACCCTGGCCCCAACCCCGCAGTCAGACCCATCCACCGAGCCCCGCCCCCGCCCAGACCAAGCTGCAGGGATTTGGGCCTAAACTGAAAAGGAAACTGGGTAAAGGCGTCTGGGGCTCTCTAGGGTCAAGGGTCTGGGCGGGTCCTGTAGCCTCAGTGTGGATCTTGACCCGGAGACCCGGGCGACGCGGACCGTCCGTGGGGGATGAGGAGGGCCGTGATCTGCGCCCGGGGCCGGGGTCACTCACCGGCCTCGCTCTGGTTGTAGTAGCCACGCAGGGTCCGCAGGTTCCCCCGGTGAGTCTGCGCGCTGGCCCTGAGGGTCAGTGTCTCACGGTCCCAATACTCCGGCCCTTCCTGCTCCATCCACGGCGCCCGCGGCTCCTCTCTCCCACTCGCAGCGTCGCTGTCGAACCGCACGAACTGCGTGTCGTCCACGTAGCCCGCAGAGATGAAGCGGGGCTCCCCGCGGCCGGGCCGGGACACGGCAGTGCAGAAATACCTCATGGAGTGGGAGCCTGGGGCAAGGAGGGGCTGAGACCTGCCCGACCTTCCTCCCACTGGATCCCGGGGTCCTGCGCCCCAGCCGGGCGGTCCCCTCGCTCCTCCCCGCAGAGGCCGTTTTCCTCCCGACCCCGCACTCACCCGCCCAGGTCTTAGTCAGGACAAGGGCCCCCGAGAGCAGCAGAAGGAGGATTCGGGGCGCCATGACCCCATCCTCGGCGTCTGGGGAGAATCTTGAGTCCAGGTAGGTGTCTGGGAGCTTCAGAACCGGGACCTCGGCGACGCTGATTGGCTTAGCTAGAAACCCGTCACCCAATGGGAGTGAGAACTGGGGATGCGTCATGAGTATCCAGGAAGAAAGACCTGACAGGTTGGGAGAAGTGAAATTCAGGGGAGTGGGGAATCCCCAACACTGCACTTTCCCCAATACCGACAGGGCCCTAGGCGCCTGAGACCCCGAGAGTCACGCCCGGGAACTAGGACTTTGTCCTGATCCCTCTTCTCCGACACCAAGCCTCTTTGTCACACTGTCTGCCTGAGTCCTGGCCAACGATCTGTCTGTGGAAACCAGAGAGAGAAACCCAGGCTGCGCCCAGCCTCTTTCCCTTCATTTCTCCTCCTGGAATCCCCGTCCCTGAACTGGACTCCCTGCCTCCCACTCCTTACCTCTCCCCTTGGACTCTTGTACAAGGAAATTCACCACAGGGAACTTGATGCCAGAGAGTGAGCTCGCCCTGGGAGTGGAGGTGTAGAGACAGGGGTTTTCTCTTGAAACCTGGTGAAGTTTTGTCTGAAGGCACCAGATAGAGATTCTCATAGAGACCAGGTTCCCTTTTGTTTATTAATACAGTAGGTAGCACAATATTGGTCATCTCTGAATGATTAGGATTCCAATCTGTAAAAGACCTGTGTCAAAACAGCATTACAGTTAAACTCTCAAAGCTCCTAAGTTTTACCTTCCTAGACTATGGATCTGTGACTCTGGGTTCTTACATTTAAAATTATCACCATTCCCTAATCAGTTTCCCTGTGTGAGTCCAGAACGTCTGAATACAAAGAAGCAGGTTTGTTACTGTATATTGCAACCGGGAGCCTGTAGTCAGCACTCAGAGTTATGAGAGCTCCATGCAGTCTCAATGCTCTTCACCAGCGCTCAAGCACTTCCTGTTTTCCTGAGCTACACACACCTAAGCAATGAGTATGTTTTATTTGAACACTTGGTATTTTCTAACCCATTTTTTTTAATCATAAAGAGGCCATTAGTTTTCAGGAAGTCCACAAAATGCATTAAATACTAATGAAAAGAACCCCCTGCTAGGCTCTTCCACTGCTTTAGAATTCTTTCCTCTGCCCCTTTTCCTCACCTCCTGCTTCTCCAGCCCTTCTCTCTGCCCCTGTCATCCCTCACACCCTTTTCTCCCCTTAGTCCCTGCCACCCTGTCACTCCTGAATTGTGGCACTAACACTGTCCCTCACTTCCTGCCCATGTCTGTTCTCCCCGTAGTGCTCAGCAGTTTTGCTAATGTGACTCAGGTCGTGTCATTTCTTCACTTACAGTGGTGGGATTTTGGTCTACCATTTTGCTATATGTTTTCAATTTGTCTCCTATCTTTTTGTTTCTTTTTCTCCTTTGCACTTTCTTGTGTATCAAGTAAACATTTTTTAGTTTATGCTTTTAATTCTCCCAGTGGTTTTTTTTTTTTTTTTTTTTTTAAGACGGAGTTTTGCTCTTGTTGTCGGGGCTGGAGTGCAATGAATGGCGCCATCGCGGCTCACCACAACCTCTGCCTCCCTAGTTCAAGTGATTCTCCTGCCTCAGCCTTCCAGAGTAGCTGGGATTATAGGCACACACCACTTCACATGGCTAATTTTCTATTTTTAGTAGAGACAGGGTTTCTCCATGTTGAAACATGCTCTTTGAATGAAGAGACTCCCCAAACAGGCTTTGTGTGAGCAACATGGCTGTTTATTCAGCTGGGTGCTGGTGGGCTAAGGCTGAAAAGGGCGTTAGTGAAGGGCGATGGGATAGGAGTTAGTTTTACTGGTTGAGGAAGATCTTTTGGGGAGGGGACAGGGGTGTTATGGGGTAAGATCAGTTACAGTGGTGGGGGTTGGGGCAAGGAGTATACGTTACCATAAGTTCAGTTACAATGGCAGGTGGGGTAAGACATAAGAATATTTAAGACGGGAGGGTGGGGTGAGGAGTATTCACATTATTATAAGAACAGTTAAGATGGCAGGGTGGGTGAGGAGTATTCACATTATTATAAGAAGTTAAGACGGCAGGGTAGGGTGAGGGGAAAGCTCCCAGGGAAGCTCCGCTGGGTGATAGCAGGGGGCAGTGATCAGGACTTTAGAATTTCTGGGTTCAGGTTTGCATATGGAGACCTCCATGTTGGTCAGACTGGCCTCGAACTCCTGACCTCCGGTGATCCGCCCACCTCAGCCTCCCAAAGTGCTGGAATTACAGGTGTAAGCTACCGTGCCCGGCTTAGCTATATTTCTTTATACTCATGTTTTTATCGTTGTAAGAATCGAAACCCAATTCCTTGACTTTCCACAATGAAGTTCAGGTAACATTAAAATACATCCAGCAAAATAAAGCACACTTCAAATGGTATAGTTTCATTTAACCTATCACTATGCTATTATTGTTATGTATATTACATTAATATACATTATAAATTCAATGATACAGTGTAATAGTTTTTGTTTTAGACAAGCAGTCATATGTCTTCAGGAAATTAAGAAAATGAGTGTGTGTGTGATATGTGTGTGCATCATTTCTGTTGTTAGTTGTTCCTTTCTGTATATCTGGGTCACCAACTAGTACCACTTACCTTCAGCCTGAAGAAATTCCTTTAAAATTACATGTAATACAGGTCCCATAGGAAATGAATTTTATGGTTTGATAATCTAAAAATGTCTTTATTTTTCCCTTTTCACCCCTTTTTTTGCTTATTAGGGCATTTACAGGTAATAAAAGTCACCAGTTTTAGCTGTGCTTTTTGGTGAATATTGGTAATTATTTATAGTCCTATAATTATCACATTGCCCAGCAGCAAAACAGCCAATGCAAAGAACCCCCTGCTGACCTCCTCAACTGCTTTAGAATTCTTTCCCCTGCCCCTTTTCCTCACCTCGTGCTCCCCAGCCCTTCTCTCTGCCCCTCATCCCTCACGCCTTCCTCTCTTTTTAGTTCCCACTACCCAGTCACTTCTGAATTGTTACTGCTATGAAAAAGGACTTGAGAATTCCCAGAGGAGTCTTTCAGCCTCTTTCCATGGCTCTTTCTGCCCTTTCAAAGCACAGCCACAGACATCAGAAGTGAAATTGTACACAAGTATTTGGTGTTTTTGACAATCATTGAAATTTCTGCAAGTGCCGAAGTTACATTTTTGGCAACTCCGTCACAGTCGAGTGTGCCCAGGACAGTCAACTCAGGCCCTGGACTCTCATTCTGGTTGGATTCTATGAGAACTGTATTCACCATAAGAATTCTAGAGCCAGCTCTTGCTACTCCACAATTGCTTCACGTTGCAAGACAAGCAAATCTAGCCTGAGCCCCGTAGATTACAGGGCTGCTCAGGAGTAACCTCCAAACCACGTGGATGACCTCATGCTTAGCTATTTCTGCCCACTCAGCCCGCAGCCCTGTCCCAGAGAGTGCTCAGTCAGAATCCGAGAGCAGCACAGCAACGTCCTAGCATAGCCACAGGACCCAGGACAGAGGACGACTCTCCCCTCTATCCCCAGCCAGGACCTCCTAGGCTCTTCCTCTGCTCCCAGCACAAGGACAGGGCTGTGCACAAGAGGGAGCCTCTGGGTCTCAAGTCAGGCTCTGAGTCCATCCAGCCTCCCAAAATCCATGTTGATATGACCGTTTTCTCCTGCAACTGACTGCACTTTCATCTCAGGGCAGAGAGAGGCTTCCAGGGCAAAACAGCAGGTTCAGGTCTGGGGTTGACCCACCCCCAAACCCGTGTTACCAGAAGACCTAATCCCTCAGCCTCCAGGATGAGACCTTGGCCTCCTGTCCTGTCCCTTGTTCCTGCCACTGCTCCTGCAAGTGGAGGCTGCTCATCCCAGGAATCAGCCTTTGAGCGCCAACCCTGGGGTATAGGGAGAGCAGCCTCGGTCCAGGAAGAAGGGAGGTTCCAAGGAGCAGAAGGGAGAAGAAATGGATCATAAGAGAACAAGGAATCATACCCAATGCTGGAACTTTGAGTCAATTAAACCTTTTTATTTATAAAAAGAAGAAAGAAAAAGGAAAAAGGAGAAGGAGAAGGAGAAGAAGGAGGAGGAGGAGGGGAGAAGAGGAAAAAGAAAAAGAGGAAGAGGAGAGGAGGAAGAATAAGGAGGAGGAGGGGGAGGAGGAGGAGATTATGATGATAAAGAAGGAGGAGGAGGAGGAGTGCGAGGGGGATGGGAGAAGGAAAGAAGAAGAAAAAGAAAAGAAGGAAGAAGAGTGAGTCAGGGAGGAGAGAAAAACGGGAAGTATTCCTTTAGAAGGTGTGTGTGTGTGTGTGTGTGTGTGTGTGTGTGTAGAGCAGGAGGGAGTCCCTAGGGTCCTGAAGAAAAGATAGCTAAGGCCAGGTGCTAAGGGGCCCAGGGTAATAGTTCCAGGGCCATACTTTCTGAGCTGGACCTTACTGTCATATCAGAGTCCGGCCCCACGAGGCCTGGGGTCACAGCACTCAGCTTGCTGAATGGCTGCTTCTCATTGCCTTTGACAGCAGAAGCCACCATGCCAGACCCAGGACCCACAGGGTCACAGGCAGAGAGCAGGCCCCTCTGCTAGAGCAACGGAGATGTTGTTCTGGGACGATGTGCGCATGACTTAGGTTGGAGTCTAAAGATAGTCGTGGGTTACAAAGAGCTCAATGACAAGCCTGGCCCAAGCTTCTGACCCCTTGCCCTGGATCCTGAGGGCTTGAATCCTCCCTATTCCCAAGAGGTCTTAAGAACTCTTCTGTTAATTTCCTGCCGTCTGGGGGCAGCCCCTCACCTCCCTCACTTCCATAATCTAGGACTCAGGCATCTGCCTCTCTCATTCTCTTGCAGTTACCCAAGTGCCCCCAGGCCCTGCTCTCTGCCAACCCTGACCCCTGAACTCCGGGGTTTTGCCACCCACCCACAGATTGCTGGATGATATAGTGGTTCTCTTTCTATATTTTTTTAAATTCTCCTTACTGTTTTCTATAGTGGCTGTACTAATTAAAACTCCTATCAGGCTGGGCACGGTGGCTCACGCCTGTAATCCCAGCACTTTGGGAGGCAGGTGGATCACGAGGTCAAGAGATCGAGACAATCCTGGTCAACAAGGTGAAACCCCGTCTCTACTGAAAATACAAAAATTAGCTGGGCATGGTGGTGCGCGCCTGTGTTCCCAGCTACTAGGGAGGCTGAGGCAAGAGAATTGCTTGAACCCAGGAGGCGGGTTGCAGTGAGGTGAGCTGAGATCCTGCCATTGCATTCCAGTCTGGGTAACAACAGCGAAACTCTGTCTCAATAAATAAATAAATAAATATATAAATAAACTCCTATCAACAGTGTGTAAGAGTTTCCTTTTCTCCACATCACCAGGATCTGGGGTTTTTGTATTGCTTTGTTTTGTTTTGTTTTGTTTGTGGTGGTTGTTTGTTTTATTTTTGTCATTTTAGCTGTGTCTATACTATCTGGGGTAAGAAGACATCTCAGAGGTTTTGATTTGCATTTCCCTCACGGTTAGTGATATTGAGCTTTTTTTCTTTAACATACCTGTTGGTCTTCTTTTGAAAAATGTCTATTCATATCCTTTGCTCACTTTTTAATGAGATTATTTGGTTTTTTAATTCTTAAGATGTTTGAGTTTCTTACATATTTTATGTTTTAGTCTCTTGTCAGATAAATTGCTATCTCTTCAC